TTTCTTGGAGGCGTTTCTTAGGCTGATTGTGCTTTCTAGGGGGCCTCGTTGACGCCTCCTGGTGGTTTGCCCTGGTCCTCTTGCGCCCCTCCCCCTCCTCGTTCTCTCCCTCGCCCCAGCGTGCTCCAGCGTGCGCTGCCCCTCAGGGCGTCCTGAAGGGCGCCGACGGCCAGCGTTACCATGGCTCCTTCCGCAACGGGCAGGTCCACGGCCATGGTGTGTTCAAGGCCGCGAGCGGCAACACGTACGAGGGGCAGTGGGAGCTGAGCAAGAGGCACGGCCGCGGGAAGTATGTCCACATGGACAGCGGGGCCTCCCTCGGGATTCGAGGATTTGATCCTCGAGGTTCGAGCATATGTCTGTATACATTTGTACGTATTTCTGTCTGTCTGCCTGTATGTATGTCTGTGTGTATGTATGCATGCATGCATGCATGCATGCATGTATGCATGTATGTATGTCTGCACGCATGCATGTATGCATGCATGCATGTATGTATGTATGTATGTATGTATGTATGTATGTATGTAGATAAGTATGCATGCATTAATGTATGCATGTCTATATGTACGCATGTCTGCATGTGCTTACACATGTATGCACGTATGCATTCATATATGTATGTGTGTAGGTAGGTATGCATGAATGAATTTACGCATGCATACATGTACGTCTGTTCATTTATGTATGTATGCATGTACGTAATGTAACATAACGTGATGCTGTGATGCGATTTAATATACTGTACTGTAGTGTAATGTAGTGCAGGGTAATGTGCTGTGATGTAGCACGTTGAAATGCATTGTAATGTACTGAATGTAGGTCTGTATGCCTATCTGGATGTACGTATGCACTTATGTACGTATGTATGTATGCATATACGCATGTACGTATGTATGCAGACGTGTATGTATTTATGCATGTAGGTACGTATGTACGTACGTAGGTATGCATGTGTGAATGCATGTATGTATGAGTTAATGAATGACTGGATGCATGCATGTATGTATGTATGTATGCATGCATGCATGCATGCATGCATGTGTGTATGCATGCACGTAATTATGTAGTGTAGATATGTGCGTCTATATGTATGTCTGTATGTATGTACCTACCTACGTACGTATGTCGACATGCATGCATACGTGTGGGCATCTACGTATGCATGTACGCAGGCATGTATGTGTGGCTGCATGTATTTATGCATACGCGCATGCATTTGTATGCAGGTGTTTATGGATGCATGCATGCATGAGTGTACAGTTATGTGTATTGGTGTATGTATATGTACATGTACATGTATATGTTTATGCATATATGTATGTATGTACATATGTATGTAGGTAAGTTATGTATGTAGATATGTATGTATATATGTATGTACGTACGCATGTATGCATGTATGTATGTATGTATGTCGGCATGCATATATATGTATGTATGTGTTTCTGTTTGTTTGTCTGTCTGTCGGTCTGTCTGTCTCTGTCTGTCTGTCTGTCTGCCTGTCTGTCTGTCTGTCTGTCAGCATGTAGGTATCTAGGTATGTAGGTATGAATGTATGCATGTACGTACGTATTTATGTATGTATGTGTGTCTGTGTGTCCTCACGTATGCATGTATGAATGCATGTCTTTCTGCCTGCCTGCCTTCCTACCTGCCTGCCTGCCTGTCTGTCTGTCTGTCTGTCTGTCTGTCTGTCTGCCCCAACATATATGTACGTACATACATATGTGTGTGTGGGGCCACTTGAGGGCCTGATGGGGGCCTCTTGGCAGCCTCCTGGGGGTCTCTTGGCGCTTCCTGGGGGCCTCTTGGGGCCTCTGGGGCCTCTCGGGGGCCTCTTGAAGTCTGATGGAGGCCTCTCGGGGCCAAGGGCTCGTAGTGTCTTCTCGGGCCGTCTTGGGGCCCCCCGGGGCGGTTTTGGGACCCTCTTGGGGGCTTCTTGGGTCTTCTTCGGGCGATCTTGGAGGCTTGCTGTGCTGTCTTTGAGCGTCGGGAAGCCGAAAAGGCGATAACTCATGGGAAATCAATAATTTTTGCTTCATGGGGCCCTCATGCGAAGCATATTGCAGGCATCTTGGGGCGTCTTGGGGGCGCTTTGGGCCATCTTGAGACGTTCGGCGTCTTGGACCGATCGAGCGGCTTGGGGCCCTTCGTGCCCGTCTGGGGGCCCTCTAGGGGCCGAAATAATCACGCGGGAAGACGCCCTTGTTCACAGGGGTCACGACGGGAACCCCAAGAGATCTGACAATTTCGGGTCCGGGCCCATTAAAGAACCCTCAGGATTGAGGACTGAGGTTTAAGGGACTAGGCCAAGGACCTGAGGACACTCCGACTCATGTCTCAATGGCCAGGTTGCGGATATACACATACATGCAGGTGTGTGTGCATACACACATATACATATATATATATGTATGTATATATATATATATATTATATATATATATATATATATATATATATCCACCTCCCGGACATCCAGGGTACGCCCGCTTTACCCTTCCCCGGGAGGCCCTGGGAGGGCTTTGCATGGCTCCAAGACGGCCCAGGGTATTTCCCATGCGGCCACCGAGGGCTCCAAGAGGCACCGAAGAGGGGCCAGCATGCCCCCGAGACGGCCCACGGGCGCTCGAAGACGGCCTAAGATGGCCCTATGACGGCCCAGGAGGCCTTCACGACGCCCCAAGGCAGCTCCAAGAGGACCCCCAAGAGCCTCACTATGCAACCACCATCATACTCCTTGGTGGAAAACGAACATATCAGCACACTCGCTTTTTCGATCAACAGCGTCGACCATGGCCAAGAGGCCGAAGAGGCTTCCAAGAGAGCCCCAAGACGGTACCCCAGAGGGCCCCAAGAAGGCCCCCAGAGAGGGAGCTCGACCTGATTGTTCAGGCCCTCTGGCCCAAGAGGGCCCCAAGAGGCTCCAAGAGGCCCTCTGAAACTGTCAGCCCTTTGCCCTAAGAAGGCCCCAAGGGGCCCCCTGAGACCGCCAGATGGCTTCAGGAAGCTCCCAGGCGACCCACAAGAGACCCTACGAGACCTTCAACTGGCCCCCAGGAGTCCCCAATGGGCCGCGAAGCTGCCTCCCAAGAGACTCCAGAGCCTCCCCCAGAGAGCGACCCCAACGACATCCCAGAGAGCTCGGGCCCACAACCCAGCCACGGTGGCGGGTCGCAGCGCAGGTGGCTCAAGAAGCCCCGCACTCCGACCCCAGATGGCCCGACTGGCTTGGCCCTCCCTCTTTCCTCCCTCCCTCCACCTCCTTCCTCTTTCCTCCCTCCCTCCACCTTCTTCCTCTTTCATTCCTCCCGTCCCTCCTGCTTCCTCGACCCTCATCCTACCCTCGGAATTTGCGACCCTGCGTCCTCCCTACCCATTCTCCTCCTCGTGGCTGCAGCCGAGGAGAAGCCCCGCACGAGCAGGAGGATCGTACGTTGAAAGAGAAACTAGCATTGAAGATGTCCTTTGAAGTGACGTCGCACCAGTTGTTCTATATTGTAGTGGCCTCTGGTCACTGCCGCCGATCCGGGGCGTTTCCGAAGTTGCCGAAGATTCTGGCGATGAAGGCGACGACGACGAACGACGAGCCGACGGCATATCGACAACGACCACTGGCGAGGGCCGACGACGACGACGAGGACGACTGACGACCACGACTGACGGATTCACCGCGGGCGGCGACCGACGACCGAAGACCGACGACCAGCAGCGGCGACCGACGACGACGACGACGACAGTGTCGACAGTGTGGAGCGACGAACGACGCGGGCGGGGGGCGGTCGATGGCCAGCGCCGGGGCTGGCGCCTGGGCTGGGGCTGGGGCCAGGGCCGCGGCCAGACCCGGGGCCAGGGTTAGGTCGGGCGTGTCGCTATACAGGAGGAGTGTTCAGAACTAGTCACCAAATAGTCTGGGGACGATTTTTTTGGAATATACATATATATACTTATATCTCTCTCTCTCTCTCCTTTTTTATAAATACATATATTTATATATGTGTATATATATACACACATATAATCGCTTCGCTCATTCCGCCGGCCCGTGGGGGCCTCTTGGGGGCCTCCTAGGGCCTCCAAGAGGGCGACTCCACTTCCAGAGGTTCCCGAGCTTTTCCTCCCGTTTTTCATGTTGTTTTCTGTTCTTTTCTTTTTTCTTCTTCTTCTTCTTCTTCTTCTCCTTCTGCTTCTTCTTCTTCGGTCGGCGGCAAAGGGGGGGGTCCGATTGGAATCCTGTACATAAGGAACTTTGTTGTAATGCGCCACAAAAGGAATTCTTTTGTGGCGGCCAGCAAAAGTGAGGACCTCCGAAGGGGGGAAGAGAGAAATACAAAAAAACTGTCATTTGCTGTGTGTTTTTTTGTTGTCGGCGGGGGGAGGAAACAACAAACAAACATTTTTTCCTTCTCTTCGGAGCTCCCCGCTTTTGCTAGCCGCCACACAAGGATTCCTTTTGTGGTGCATTACAGTAGACTTCCTTATGTACGGGATTACAATGGGATTCATTGTGTGGAGGATTCAATAGGATTCCTTTTGAAGGGGGGTTACACTGGGACTACTATTGTGGATGATTCTTGTAATATTCCATAAAAACCTTATTGGATGGATCCACCTCTCATAGAATCCTATTACAGATGGTTCCACGTCTGATCGGTTCATAATACCTATGGATCCACCTCTAAGAGAATCCTATTACATATGGATCCACCTCTAATATAATCTTATTACATTTGGGTCCCTCTCTTATTTAATCCCAGTGCATAAGGATCCACCCTACAAATTTATCCACCTCCTAATGGGATGCGATTAGAGATGGATCCATCCCGGATGGGACCCTATCAGGGTGAGATCCGCCTCTAATGGAGTCCTATCAGAGATGGGTCCACCTCCAATAGAATCTTACTACATATGGATTCAGCTTTCATGAAATTCTAACAGAGATGTATCCACTTCGAGTGGGAACCTATTACACATGGATTTACCTCTAATGGAAGCCGATTAGAGATGGATCCACCTCCAATATAATCCCATTAGAGATGGATCCACCTCTAAAGGGATCCTAGTACAGATGGGTCCATCTCTAATATAATCCTATTACATATGGATTCAGCTCGAATGGTATCCTATTAGAGGTGGTTCCATCCCTCATGGAATCCGACTAGGGATGGATCCATTTCCTAGTAGAATCCTATTACAGATGGTTTCAACTCTACTCCACTTCTGATGGGGTCTCATTAGCGATGAGTCCACCCCTGATGGAATCCCATTAGAGATGGATCCACATGTAATGGGATCCGCG